CTGGCTAATTTCCCTGACTCTTCCTGGAAGAAAAGAAATGCTCTGGTCAGGGGGCAACTGAGGCAACAGAGCAAGTCCTTAAAGACACCGACTGAGGGAAATTTCTCTGAGATGCTCAGCAGAATCCCCAGTTCCTTGGGGAAATGAGGGGCCGTTACCCAATGGGAGGGGTATGGGTCAGCAGCAGGCTGGCTATGGGACTGTGCTGCCTTCAGACTGGAGAAGGGGGGTTACAAGCGGCTGTTGCTACAGATTTATTGCTAGAATTTATTGTTACTTGTATTTGCATCACAGTCGCCCTGACAGACCCCACGTGAGATCCGGGCTCTGCACAAAACCCAGCCGGGGACAATCCCTGCCCTGAGCAGTTTACAATCTAGGAAGACAAAATGTGGAGAGGGAAATTGAGGCACAAAGGCTCAGGAGTCACTCAGTGAGTGAGTGGCAGAGTTCAGCATGGAACCCCAGTTTCTCCAGACCGAGTCCATGAGTTTAACCACTAGGCCATATTGCTTTCTCAACTGCAGTGATGAAATGTGTGAGTTAGGAGGGAAAGACGCCTTGCTATGGGCCCAGGCCCAGCAGGGAGAGGCGGTTTCCCACTGGGATGCTGAACTCCTGGGCTGCTCCATGAGGGGTTAAACTCAGATGCTGCAGCCGACACTAGATCAGAGTTCAGCATGGAACCCCAGTTTCTCCAGACCGAGTCCATGAGTTTAACCACTAGGCCATATTGCTTTCTCAACTGCAGTGATGAAATGTGTGAGTTAGGAGGGAAAGACGCCTTGCTATGGGCCCAGCCCCAGCAGGGAGAGGCGGTTTCCCACTGGGATGCTGAACTCCTGGGCTGCTCCATGAGGGGTTAAACTCAGATGCTGCAGCCGACACTAGATGAGGTCACAGGGCTGGATGCTGCGTGGGATCTGGAGCGCCTTGAGTCCACCCACAGCACCACTCCAGGCAGCACAGGGTTATGGCAGGCACCACTGGGATCAGACTGGGATGGAACAAAACTACCCCCAGGCGGGAGCTGCCCAGTGCTGGTCTGACCTGTGCCAGTGGGTACCTGGGCACAGACCAGCCAGCAAGGTTCTATTAGTCCCACCAGGCAGCCTGTGGGAATCTCCCAGAATGCACTACTGCTGGGAGCTGTACCAGGGACTGGGGCAGCGGGTACCTGCCCAGAGGGCGTTGCTCTAAAAAGGGTTTAGGGCAGCGCTGGGGCAAACCTGAACCCTACTTACTACAAATCAACCTATTTAATTACGGGGGCCACTGAAGCATCCCCAGAGCACAGGACATGCTCACGTCTACCTGCCCAGGCCCACCCTCAACGCTTGGTTGGCCTCTGTGGGCCTGTCCCTGCCTCTGTCAGACCATCCCCACCTACGTCATTCTGTGTGGAGGTGCCACCCCCTCCTGCCCCCACCCTCACAGGTGTCCTGCTGCAGTCTCAGTCTCCTCCTGTCCCTTTCTCACCAGACAAAGCCACGGCCTGGGCTGAGTCCCCTCCGGGCAGGAACAGAGCCCCACAGAACTGGGACTGTGCAGCGTAAAGCCTGACAAATGGCCTTGTGACGGGCTGGTCCCGTCACCCTTGCTGAGCCCAGGCAAGTGCTGGCTATGTTGCCGCGCATGCATGGTAAGCCGGCGGCTGCTTTTAAGTGCGGCACCGGCACACCTGGGGGTGGGGGTGTGCCTGCGGGGAGCAGAGCGGGGCAGAAGAGGCCGAGGCATTGGGAGGATGGGGGCAACCCACCAGAGGCAGAAGAGGGCAGCACAGCAATCGTCCTGCTCCGTCCCCAAGAAGACAGAGGGCACGCAGGAGGCGGCGACATGGAGCCAGAGCCAGAACCGGAGGGGGCCAAGGCTGTAAAGGCTCAGCGAAGGGGCACCAGCCAGGAGGCGAGCGGAAGTCGCCCGAATCCCGAGGAACCCCCACGGCCGGAAGAGGTGACTAGCCCCCTCCTCCGAACAGAGCGCTGGGACGCGACGACACCTAGATCCATGGAGCAAAGGGCACCCAACATCGCCGAAACAGCCTGTAGTAGAGGTAGGAAAGGGGCCCGGATAGAGGAGCACCTGTAGGAGGAGCGACTTCCAGCAGTAGCCCTGAGAAGGGCGGCAAGGAACAGACATTTAGGACCTCGCCAGCCAGGTAAAGGCCGGACATCGTACCCTTCTGGTCCTGAGGAAGAGAAGATGCTCAGGAGTACAGGAGAGCCCAAGCACCCCTACACCACGCCCGTAGTGTGGGAGGCGATCCGCCCACAGGAGGATTGGCGAGAGATAGACTTTGGGGACAGGGACTGAGAACTCAATGGGCCCTGGGTGAAAGCGGGAGGATTCTGGTCATATCGGGGCCACCCCGATATAGGGGAACCCAGCATGCCCTACAGGCCTAGAGCAAACCGTCAGTGGGCAGGGGAGAGCCCCTCCGTGAACTTAACGCGAGCCTGCCCTGCCCCACAATCCTCCGGGGCTAAGAGGGTAGGGGGGGTGGTCGACCCCTGACAGGCCTCCTCAGGCCCTCAGACGGGGGAAGGGAGGGAGACAGAAGAGCCTGGTGATCTGCCCAGGGGCCCATTGACGTTGCTCTGCTGAGCCTCCCTACAACTAATGGGCTGGCCCTGGTGCCAAGCCCAGCTGTGTCCAACCAGCGCAGCCCCCAGAGCTGAGCTCCCAGCCCCTGTTTAAGCCGTGGTGGCTCTTGGGATTGGCGTCTCTTAGCTATTTCAATCCCCTCACACAGAGATGTGTTGATTCACCCCCAGTGCGAGTCAGGGCCGGTTCTGGGCTGCGCTGCCAATTGTTTCACACACACCAACAACGCGCGCTGATAACTGAGCTCTCTCTCGAACTACTAAACAGACTCAACCTGCCTCGGTAACAGACAGATTCTGACACACTCCCAGGATGTATTAATAAGGTTTCATCTGCTTGGGGGCCCTGATGTCACACAGCGACTGGGACCAACAGTCACTGGGGCTGTGGGTGGGAAAACGCCCCGTTCCCCACCCCTCTCAGCCTCACAATGAAACCTCCCAGCTCATTTCTGTTTCCTCAGGGGAAAATCCAGGCTCATTTGAAGACTCTGAGGGAAGAGAGAGAAAAGCTGCTGGGATGGAAAGCGACGGGGGAGGGGAGAAGTCAGGAGTGTCTGGTAGGTGCCTGTGGCTATGGACCGGCAGGGGGAGGTCTGAATGTTGGGCAGCAGCTCAGGAGAGATTCAAATGCTGCCCAGCTGATTAGCAGAATGTTCACAGCTAGATTTTGTTTCAACTGGTGGTGCACATGTACATGTGTTGGGCAGCAGCTCAGGAGAGATTCAAATGCTGCCCAGCTGATTAGCAGAATGTTCACAGCTACATTTTGTTTCAACTGGTGGTGCACATTTACATGCCTTGGTGAACACTGAAAAATGTATTCCACACATGGATGGAGAAGATTAAAGAGAACACTGATGCTGAGATCTGTCCCCTGCAGCTCTGGGTGTGATTTTCCAGAACCCAAGAATAACAGAACTTGCTACCCATGGCAGGCAGGGAACCGTCCCTTTCAGAGGGACACATGGGCCAAACAGGAAACTGAGGGATGCCTCAGTCTAGTTCCCAGAGATGGTATTACAGGTTCTCAGGCTCTGCCCATGCCCCTGACCAGCCCTTTCCCTGTTTTCACACAGAAACAGACACAAGCTGAGAGGAAGAAGATTGTGGCAGAGTTTCAGCAGCTGTGGCAGTTCCTGGAGGAACAAGAGCGACTCCTGCTGGCCCAGCTGGAGCAGTTGAATGAGGAAACTGGGAGGCTCCAGACTGACACTGTCAGGAAACTCTCTGTGCAGATTTCCCATCTCAGTGAGCAGATCGGTGAGCTGGAGGGGACGTGTCAGAAGTCAGCAAGTGAATTCCTGCAGGTGAGACTGAGGGAGAAACATCCCAGCTCCCCACACAGGGAAGGGAGGCTCCTGAATCACAAGTGATGGAGTCCAGCTGTCAGATCTGGGTGTAACTCAGCGGGTGCGTTGCTGCCATGTGAGTGACTGTTGTGCTTTGCAGAGTCACAGGCACAGAGCTATTAGAGATGGCAAAGCCCCATTTGCTTAGGGGATCCATGGCCCTGGAGCCAGGGCAGGGCCTCTCTTCCCATGTTTGCAAAATCCCTTTCCTGGGTCCTGTGTGTCAAAGGGCTTGGAGCTGATGTTGGCACCACATCTCCCCAGGGCCCTGCAGCCAGATGTGAGGGGTTGGTCACAGGCTGGGCACAAATCTCTGATCAGCGTCAGCCTGCGGCTCTCCCCTGGCCCAGCAGACTCTGGAATTCTCCATTGGGGAATGGGCTGGGGAGAGGGGAGCTGGTGTCTCAGTCTAGTCCCTAGTGGGCAGATTCCTACAGCCCTTCCCCTGGGAACCTCCTGCCCCTCAGCGCCTGGAGGCCAAGGGGTGAGTTGGCCGTGGAGACTCAGTTCCCCTTTTGTGCCCCAGCTGGTCTCCCCAGGCCAGAGCTGCAGGCTGTTAATGGACCTTTGAGGGGACGTTGCAGGGCCAAGGGCTGCGCTGCCCCTGCTCTTGGACTGGGAGAACTGGAGGATTCGAACTCCAGGCCCAGCAGAGCAGCGACTCACTGGCCAGAGCTGGAGAACTGAGTCACTCGGTGCAGTGTCCCCATGTGACGTTGTCTCTTCCCAGGTGTGAGATGGGGCCGTTCCAGCCACCAGAGGAGATTTCTCTTGAACTGGGCGAGCGAGTCAGAGGTTTCTCCCAGATAACAACTGCGCTGTCGGAGATGCTGAGGCAGTTCACAGGTACCGAGAATGGATGGGGGAGGGGAAAGTGAGTGAAGTATCTGAGCCCAGGGTAAGAGACCGATGCTGGTCATTTGGTTCCTCGTTAGATGAAGTTTCTGTTGAATTGTGAGGTGAGAATGGCACCCACTTGCCGTCCCAGACACTCAGGTGATTCATTGAACCTTATTTGTTCCAAAAGCCACTTTGTAATAACAGCAACTGTTAGAGCACAAAATGGCCGACACAGACAGACAAACGCACAGCTCCGTGCTGCTCTCTGCAGAGACGCTGAGTATACAGACCCCATGGATCACAGGTAGAGCCAGGAGTTCACACACTCTGAACCTTCTGCTCGTGTCAAAGGGACCCAAGTGGGTGAAGTTACTTTGAGGCCAAAATCTTTGCAGGATCTGGGCCTAGGCTGTGACAAATGTCAGGAAGTGAATGAGCCAAACCCAGTGAAGGCTTCAGGGTGGGGGTGAGGGGATGTTGAGGAGAAAGCGAATCTCTTCACAGACTGTCCTGGGCTGGCTGTGAGGCTGCAGGGACGTTGGTTCCTTTGCTGGGAGATGAACAAGTTTTCTCTTTCCTCCTTATGACACCCTTTTAGATATCTGAAAACTGCTATCATGTCCCCCCTCAATCTTCTCTTTTCTAAACTAAACAAACCCAATTCCTTCAGTCTTCCCTCATAGGTCATGTTCTCTAGAC